TTTCTTGAATTGTTTAATACTTAGAACATTTCAAAAAGTGATTTTTCTAGAAATAGTTAAATTACGGCACAACAATTATGTCAATTATTATTTTTATAATAGGTATGCCAAGTAAAAAATTGACAAATAAATAGAGATAATAAAACATAAGAAGACTTTACCTTTACCTTTTATTAAATAGACTCTCAACTCGAATAAAACATGTCAAATATTTTTCATCCCGTGTTTCATATCCGAACGATTCACGAGGAGTAATGTTCTTTGAATTTTCTTAATAACACAACCCTTTTGTAATACCAGAATTTCAGGTTCATTAATTACTCCGTCAATAAAGGCCACTTAGTCAAATTGCAAGACTTTCAAACCTGTGCTCTTTTAAACTACTTTCATTCTTCCCATATCACCCTTCAAAATCAAATCCCTATTTTACCCCTATTACTGAAGCATCAAACACATACACAACATGGGCTTTTTTGGAATTCGAAACATGGTTTACATGCATGACCTTTTCTTGTTTACTTGTTCAACACGTGATACATAAAATTCAATTCAACAAAAATACTAGTATTAGCTATATTCAAAGTTAAACAAAACACACCTCATTCAAATTGCTATAAATACCAAAACTCATCAATAACATTCTTCATCCACATTCATTAGCAAAAACTAAAGTACATATCTCATAGTAATCATTGGAATATTTTGAGTTGTAACCTTACTCTGTAGTTACAGTATTTTCCTATAGTTCTGCTCTAATCTCTGATTTGTTCGAGGATGACTAGTCGAAGAATAATTACTTTATTGATAATTCTTGCCATGTTTGTTGCTATAACGAGTACTCAAAACCATGTTGAGGCCGCTAGAGTATTGTCACAAGATTTTTCTGGTGAAAAAATTCATCTCACAACATTGCCATCGATATATGAGAAGGCGAAGAACAATTTGTCATTTTTGCTTGAGAGATTACCTTCAGGACCTAGCCCTAAAGGACCTGGTCATTAAAAATGGCTGAAAGGAGCAATAGATAATTAGCATAGCTTATAACATTTTTTTCCTTTTTATTTTTCTTTCTTTTGACTAGATATAGAAAATACAAGATATTAATTTCTTCTTCTTTTATTTATTGTTATATATTATATATACCTCATTTATTAATTCATCTTTCTTGTTTTTTTTCATTTTTTGGTGAGAGAGATCAAATGGACGGTGTTCTTGTAAGATTCAACTGTTACTGAAATGAAAATATTCTTTTTTTACTATATGGTTTACCTCACTTTCTAGGTATGGTTATGTTTAATTTAACGTATAGTCGGTGTTTAAGAGTTAACTATATTACTTCATCCGTTTCAATTTATATGATAATGTAGTTAATTGGATATAGAGTTTAATCAATTAAATGAAATTTTTTAAAATTTGTGATTTATAAATATTTGTGCATTTATAAAATATTTATCATCTTATGATCGGATTGCTCAAGGATTCACTAATTTTTCACAACAATCATGTGAAGCGCGAATATATTAATTAGTGTTGAAATTTTAATGGTTAACACATTTAGAAAGTAAGTATGATCTTTGAATCCCAGAAATTTAGCAAGTTGAAATTTCTCTTAAAATCGTTCAAAAGTTCAATACATTGGGCTAAAGCTAACATGATATTGTGAGGATTTTTTAAAAACTTTAGCTAAAGCTATCTTTAAAAAAAATAAAAATAAAATATACTCGCATTAAAAAATAATATTTTGAACTAATTTAGAAATAATGACTATTTTTGCAATTATAGGTTTAAAAGGTGGTCATCCCATGTTATTTTTGTCTTAGTAGGTGATATTGAACTTTTGACTTTGTTTATCTATGAGTAGATCTTTAAGTTTTGATTTTTGACTTAGTGGATTTATCCATGAAATAATTAAGAGTAAAAAGTTTAATATCACTCATTTTCAAGATTGTTGAATGTAATTTCCTATCAAGTTGAAAGTTTAAGAGCACTCATTTTCAAAGTTACGGTATGTAATTTCCCGTCAATAATGTGCTTCTAGTTTTAATTTGTGTAAAATTTAGTATAACTTACATAAATCCCAAGTATAAAGAGTAAATTACTATCCCTACTCTTTTTCTAATTACAATAATACCTTAAAATTTGTACCTTCCGGATACATAAGTCACCATCCGGATACATTAATTCTAATACAGAAGAATCTTTCTGTTGCGCTAAAAAGGAATAAAATCTAAAAATTAATTATATCACATAAACTACGCTTACGTTTCTTCTTACTGTCTATCATACAGAGACAAATCCTATCAGAATAAAGAAATTCAAAATTTCAAATTGCTCCCCCCATCAACGAAGAGACCTTTCAGATTTGATTAAAAAACTTTTGTCGAAATTTTGGGTAAGCGAGGTGAGTTGTGAAGAATACAAAAGTGATGGAATTATTGTTGGACAAACGATTTCCTTTTGAATCTTCAAGTTCATTGAAAATCCTTTCAATTTTGATTCAAGATTTTTTCTTCTCCAGTTCATCGAAGATCCTTTCAATTTTGAGATTCAAAATTCTTCTCCTAGTTTATTGAAGATCTTTTCAATTCAAACTTTTTGAGAAGATACATCACGAATATCTTTGCTACTTAGCATTTTACTATTTATGTATCTTGTTTAAATTGATAAATATTGTATTTATACTAGATACATTAAATAAATAATTGTTGCCCATAAGATGTTAGATTTGAGATTGATGCATTACCGTGTGGTAATTGCTATGTAATTGATACATTTAATATAAATTTGAATTTACGTATCATATCTAAAAAATTAGTGCATGATACATTACTTTTTATTTATCTCGTTTAAATTGATAAGTATTGTATCTACACTAGATACATTAAATAAGTAATTGTTGCCCATAAGATGTTAGATTTGAGATTGATACATTACCGTGTGGTAGTTGCTAAGTAATTGATACATTTAATATATATTCGAATTTATGTATCACATCTAAAATATTAGTGCATGATACATTACTATTTATGTATCTCGTTTAAATTGATAAGTATTGTATTGTTACGGAATATAAACATGTAATTGTTGCCCATAAGTTGTTTGGTTTGAGAGCGATACATTTAGTATAAATTAGTATTTATGTATCATGCCCGTATAATTTGACGTAGCTATGCATCATATACAAAAAAAAAAGTATGAATATGATAAACAATGATTAAGTTATAAAATAGGCTTAAGTTATTGACAACCCCTTAAAGTTGTCCGTATAATTTACTTAGACACCTCAACTATGACTAGTACCTATTAAACACTTTTACCTATTCAAAAGTTGTTCATATTAGACATTTTTTGATAATCAGCAAAAAATATGAAGAGTGTGTGATACACTTGAGCTGACATGGCAAAACGGCTAATTAAAAAATAACATGTGGCACTGGGCCCCCAAAAATATAAAAACAAATAAAATTTTGTTTAAAATTATTTCAAACACATTTATATCTATTTTTAAAAAAAATAAAAATGAAAATGTCAACCTATTCTACAGAACTCCACCCCTAGCCAACCCCCTTTCGACTTCATCTTCTTCCCAAAACACATTTTTTCTCAAATCACAAAACCTAATTTCTTTCCAAATAACTTGAAGATTAACTTTTTTAAAAAAATTATATATTTTCATACTAAGAGTGAAGAAGAAAGAAAATTTTGCCGGTGGTTATTCATTTCTACATCGATGACAAAAAGAAATTGATAGCTCAAAAATTAATTCTTTCAAATTTTCGAATATCATTTTTGATAAATTTAATGGGTTTATATTTGAATTTGAGTAAAAATATTTCTTCGAAAATTGTGATAAAAAAATATCAGCTAACTTTTTTTATATGTAAAAAATCATTTATCATCTTTCTTCTTCTTCATATTTGTTCCATTATTTTTTATGAGATTTGAAATAAATTATACAAAAGAAAATCTTTCTTTCAAATCTGAATCGTATGATTTTGTCATAGTTGATTTTCATTTATCTTCAAATTTGAAAGAAATAATATATATTTTTTATAAAAAAAGAAAGACAAACAATGTTGGAGCTAAAATGGAGAAAGTTTTGCAAACTAAATTTTGAAGAAGATGAGTAGTAGGGGGTGGGGTGCTTCTTTTTTGAAATTAGTGTAAATGAAAGAAGAAAAAATGTTTTTTAAGTTAATTATAGTGTCAATTGTCAATAAAAGAAGAAAAAATGTAAAAAAAAAGTTTAAAAAACTCTATTTTGAATCTTTTCACGTGCTTTAGGGAAGTGCAAAACACATTTTTTGCCATATCAGCATTTTGTGTTTAATAGGTACATGTTTTGAACAATTTAGGTGTTCAATAGGTACAAGTCCTAGTTAATATGTCTAAGTGAATTATGCGGATAACTTTAAGGGGTTGTTAATGACTTAAGCCTATAAAATAGTATTGCACATACATAACAAACATATGATACATACCCACATATATAAGTGACACTTTTTATGATTCGTTTTTGTCCTAATTTTCTCCATGTTTATTTTGTCATGTCCATGTATGGGTGGTTTATTGAGTTTACATTCTAACCATCTCTCTAACAGTAAAACGCTTGTCTTTATGTATGAAAAATTACCCCAATATTCACATGATTTTCCTGTAAAAAAAAAGAACTGGAAAGAAAAAAATAAATAAAATACTAGCTCTTGATTAGCTTTAAATTATTAATTGGAGAGAGGAAACATTTAAATTCAAAATAAATGAGTGATTATAGGCATGATAAAAGGGAGAAAATTGTGGAGTTGGAAGATTGAAAGTTATGTATCGAAAGGAGAGAGTTAGAGAAAAAGGAAAGAGTTTTGTAATTTTTTAAAATGATAGGAAATAATAGAAAATAGGATAAGAAAAAATGTGTAGTTTGGTAATAATTCCTAAAATTTACACGAGCCCACAAGCCCATTCACCACCATAAGGACGGCCCATGGCAATTCGTTTTCCTCTTTGTTGAACATTTTTCACCTTGGAGGCCTCGCCGAGCAGATAAGAACTCCTCTTCTCAGTTCTCACTCACACTCCCCACTCTCCGTTACAGTCACTATGCTCTTCAATTAGGTATCTAATCCTTCTTATTTTTGGTAAAGTTTTGAATTTTTTTGTATTTGTGTTTTTGTGGAAGTAGTTTTTTTCGAAGCATAAATTAGTGCAATATCAATTTTAAGTTATGGTTGAATTTTGTGATGATTATGTGGTTTCTCAAAAAAAAAAAAAAGTACTATTTGTCACTATCTTGTGTAGGGTTTTTAATGATGAGATGGCAGTCATGAAAAAAACTGATAGTTGTAAAGTAATGTTTAGTTTAATCTGTCATTTGAACATTTATGGTGTCAAATTTAAGTTTTTCTTAATTTGAATAAGAAAAGTTCACATTTTGATTTCGTTGTTTTTTTCTCATAAGCAGTTAGATTATAAATGGCTATTTTGATTCAGTTGGGCCTGGTTGTTGATATTGCTTCTTGTTTGTTTAATGTAATGTCTATTCTTCTGTTGTGTCCAAACCATGAAGTTATTTCAAGTACCCTTTTTCTATATTTGACAAATAAACTGAGTGTTTCTGACCTTGTTTTGTTTTTGAAGTTTTTCTTGCGCCGTCCTTCAATTTTTCATCAATGTTGTAGAAAAAATACTGCCTCAGTAACAGCTATAATTTTATATTTATTTTTGTCCCTCACACCAGGCGACCCCTAAGTGATATGGATGAATAACTAGGACATTATTGTTAAATCCTGCGATTTCTTAAAATAATTCTTCCCTTAATATTGGTGAAGGGCGTGCACCACTTTTGCTTCTGGCTTTTTAAGGACTAGGATAATTTCACCTTTTTTTTACGATCATAGGGACTAGTTTGAATGTGAAACCACTCTCTTTTAATGGACAATGGGTAGCATTGGTACACTTAATGGTATGATACTAGTATTTTTACCCAAACTTGCAAATGACTGTAGTTTATACATTTTGAAAACCCCGAGTCTTCTGTTAGTGAAAACATTATGAATGGGTTTGTCTTGGTCGTCAGTTCATAAATTTGTACTACATGGATACATAAATTTCTTCTTATGAATAACAACAAACTTCCAACTTTTGAATTTGATAGTCAATCATGTGTATATTTATTTTCTTCGTTTAAAATTTGCATTGAAATGTTTGGTTCAGATAGTCCTTTGCGGAGTTTATGAAGATCCTTCTATTTTCATCTTGGTCTTTTACCTGCATTCTAGTGCATTTATGGTGCTATGTGCTTTTCTTCTTTGTAGATCTTCTCGGAGGACTTGAATATGATCCTAAATGGATGCTACTTGAGTTCTGGGGGTATTTGTAAACCTTACAAAGCATGTAACTCCAAGTCCTACCGATCTGCATCATCATGCACCCCTCTGCCGCTTTCCAAGGTTATAGTCACATGTGTTAAACGTTCACCAGCAGCTCATCAGTATCCAGCATCCTGCTCCAAAGGTGTGTGAAATCTTGATGGTGATCTTTTTGCATGTCATTATTTTCATTCTGCATTTTTATGTTAGTTCTGCTTAGCCCCATTTGTTTTCAGTTAATGGATGTTTGAATTTGAAAATTGCAGGTTTCAGTCCGCTAAGTGTATAAATGCATTTTTTTTTCCTTTTATTAAAGCTTATTTGGTCTTAATAGGTCTTATTCATTCTGATCTTGTACATAGTTTTGAAATCATTGAACTGTTGTTCAATTAAGATCCCTGTAAAGATAACATTTTAACTTATTGTACTTTTTACGTAGTTTACAAATATATAAATTTCATTTCAAAAAAATTGAAGATAACATTTTATCACTATTTCTTTCACCTTTTCCTTTTAATCCCAACAACTTGTCTTGATTTTTAAAATTGCGTAAAAGCTTGGGTTTGTTCTTTGGCTTCTTTTAGGGCCCAAGTGTTGAGGATATTTAATTCGAGTTTGAATATTTAAGCTTGTGATAATAGCATCTTTTAAGTATGCATCTTTTTTATTGTAGCTTGTGGGACCTAATCATAATTTGAGCTCTTCATGAAGTTCTTATAATGCTTGTAAGTTGTAAGGAAGTTAGTGAGTGGATTATCTTATAGGTTTTTTCCTCGTCTTTAAGGAGAAATGTATATTTGTTCTTTTCTCAAAAACTTAAACTAAAAACTGAAATGGCTCGAATCTTTATGCACCCATGTTTGGTGGATGTTGTTTATTGTAAATGTATTTCCGTCCATTCCTTTTTGCTACTGTTCTCTCACAGTTCAAATAGATAAATGTGCAAAGGCAGCTACTGTAAAATAAGAGGTTTAAGGGTGTACAGTAAGTCACGTAGTGTTCTTTTAGAGGATTCGGTACTATAAGAATGATGATAGAGGGAACAAAGTAGTCAACAGATCTTTAAGCCAATATATCTCTAATTCTCTACAAGCTTATGATATGATTCTTTTCTGTTGACTCTATTAGTTGAAAGATATAAAGCTAATTTCCCTATTAAAGTTGAGTTGTCAGTGCAGGATTCAGCTTCCTTGATCTTTCTTCTGCATCATCACTTCTTTTAAGCAGTGAATATGGTGGTCTTTCGAATGCTATACCACAGTTACCAAGACGAAGCCAATTGTCCTTTTCCCCTAGAGCATCGAAGGATGTCCCCTATAGTTACAGATTTCCTCCGATGACCAAAAAGCCAAGGTGGTGGTGGAGAACCTTAGCATGCCTCCCTTACTTGATGCCTCTTCACGAGACTTGGATGTATGCTGAGACAGCATATCATCTCCACCCTTTCTTGGAAGATTTGGAGTTCCTGACATACCCTTTCCTGGGAGCTATTGGGAGATTACCGAGCTGGTTTTTAATGGCATACTTCTTTGTTGCTTATCTTGGTATAGTGAGGAGAAAGGAATGGCCTCATTTCTTTAGGTTTCATGTGGTGATGGGGATGCTACTTGAGATTGCCCTGCAGGTTATTGGGACTATAAGCCGTTGGATGCCACTTGCGGTATACTGGGGCAAGGTTGGTATGCACTTTTGGACGGCTGTTGCATTTGCCTATCTGTTCACAGTTTTAGAGTCCATAAGATGCGCACTTGCTGGGATGTATGCTGATGTACCATTTGTGTGTGATGCAGCTTATATTCAGATACCCTATGATTAATGAAAGCCAACACATAGGATGTAAACAGATGAGATTATGTTTGTTATGCCTTTTTTGTAGGACGCTGAGGCTAGATCAAACTGAATTTTTAACTTGCAATGATCACGTTCTCTTGGGAAATGCTTTATGGTCTGTAACATTCACTTTATACTGCTGCTGTTCTTTCCTCTCCCGTCTTCCGAAGGTATTGATTAAGTTCTCATTGGTTTTCAGCTTGTTCTCTTAGTTTCAGTTGTCATTTTAGGGATTCTGTGACTTCGTTTTCACCAGTTTGATCTATCAAACGGGAATAGCATTTTGCCAGACTAGAGGCAGCAACAGAAATATACATCTTTATAATTCTGGAACAGAATTACATATAGATATATAGATTTTTACTTTTGTCATATCACTATTTAGACTGCAGACTTGAGAATGCAAAACCAACAACAGAAAAAGGCTTCTTAATCCAAGAGCTTTTGTAGATTATTGGGTGTGAGATTTCAACAAGTGAAAGGCTGCTTAATCCAAAAGTTCGAAACAAAATCTTTGATTAAATCAATTCAATAATAAAAGAAAGTAAAGTATTTGGATTGGTGAAAAGCTACTAGTATTGCTTATATTTACAAAAAACTATCAGCTAGCTACTAACCACAAAAGAAAGGGGATATCGATGTGGAGCCTAACTATACTAATAAAAACAAAAACCTAATAAAATTAGGTCAAAGGACATCCATCGACAAAAATGCCTTTGCCTGTGGGACAAGAAGCCAAATCACAATACTCTCCACCAGTTCCCCACCAAGAGAAGTTAACATTCCAAACAGTAACGCAGAAAAACAGAACCACTCCCATTACAGCAACTCCAGCATCTAGTGCTGCAGATAGGACATAATTGTATCTCTGCCACCATTGCTTTCTGTATCTGAAAACGAAGAAATTGAACACTGTTCCAACGATAATCCAGCTGTTGAAATTCAATGTTGTTGCTGGAGGCATACTGGCTGTAGCTGCAAGAAGTACTGGAATGTTGATCAATTTAATCCAACTTTGGCTTGGGAATGATTTGTGTAGCAACCACACCAGAAAGGGTGCCACAAGACCTCCAATAAAGCACCAATTGAGGGCACTATATTCTCCAAGGCCTAGGAATATTCTTCGCGGTCCTACTAATCCCCAGATAACTGACGCATCAAAAAAGACTCTATCGCTCTGACAGGTCCATGGACTGTTGGGAGGAAGCAAGTTAGGTTGGCATATGTGGTCAATGCTATTAAGTAGCCACCACGCAACACCCATATTGATTGTACCACCAAGTATGGTTCCAACTAGCTGTTTTTAGTAAATAGAAGTTTCAGTCAGTCTCTTGTAGTATCAAGAAACAGTACAATTGCTATAGTTTTTTTTTTTCTTCCTATGATTAATAGATTTGACTCCTTATGTGTCCAATACTAACCATTGACTAGTATAAGTGATTAATACTACTAATGGAAACAAGTAAGAGGAAGAAAACAAGGAAGGCATACCTGAACGATGAACATTGATCTTGGAGGAACCTTCATGTAATGACCAAGCTTAAAATCTTGGAGAAAAGAAACAGCCTGGCTCATACTCATATAGGCAAAAGTCTTGAAGCAGACATTGGCTATTGGTTTCCCTGGGATTATCATACCAATAACATATTCCGTGATCACATTTAATCCTGGTGACTGTTAATCAGAAGCAAAAATTTGTTTAATAGAGGAAAATGGATGCAGTCCACAAAAGTTACTAAACATATGTTCAACTTGCAAAACTAACCATGTTTGTGGTGGCTGTTATGACGCTTATTGGTAGGGTATATATCAAAGCAAGACAGGCTGCAAGGAGAAGCCCCCACCACGAAAGCTGAACTTGATCTTTCATGAAGATACATAGGACAAGCGACAAAGCCAATGAAAGTGCAAGCGTGAGGTAGAACCACCAGTTAGGGATGTCCTTATATTTCATCATAAGTCTTGTGTGAATATCAGGCTTTCCTTTGTATGAGGCTCGGAATCGCTGAACTATTTCCCTGTTAAGTGAACTTATCAGTATAATTCTCTTAGCAGCACTAGTTTAATTCATGTGTTAAACCTATAGGAACCATGTCTTAGTTGAATAATAACCGGCCAAGTAAAGAGGGGGTGGGTTTCTCTCTCTCTCTCTGAGAGTTTCTTTTTTTCAGTTCATCTATAAGTTCTATTCTAGTTGGTTAACCAGCATGGAAAACTCTCTGAAATAGCTAAGTGTTCCTACGACATCAACAAGAATACTAGCATTTTGGTTTACCTAAGCATTTATGTCAATTTCCTAGGTCAAGCAGTATAAACCCCTGTACTCGTTCAATTGTTTAGTATTGCAGGTTCTTCTTTATATATGTTCCAATTTTTTCTTACACACATGAATTATACGCATAAAGTCCAAGCTAGATGCAGTGCTTTCTGTCAAGGCGTCTTGACTAGATCCATCATGGCGAATAAGTGATTAAAAAGTGGAGAAAATGTTGAATAGAGCACTTACTTTCCATTGAATAAAGCAACTTGAGAGAGAGTAGCCATAACAGCTGCGAAATTCAGGCCATAAGTGACAGCAAAGAACATGCTGAGATGTATGCGTCCATGCTGTGCATATGATACCTTGTCTATCTCAAACTTATCATTAACAATCTCTGTAACATTATATATCTGCCCCCGAGCATCAAATAGCTCTGAGGAGAATAGAGGGAAATTCTTGGCATTGTAGAGGTTCAACCCCCAATAGGAAGCTGGAATAAGTATATAAACTACTCCAATATAGCCCACTATGACATTGACAATGACGAAAAAGGGGTAAACTAAAGGGCTACCAAGATATGATGCTATAACTGCCCAATCAAAAGTGAAGGATAAAATTCCCAGACCCTTCATGCCTGAACCAAGTTGCTGGGCTACCACTGATTTGGGATAGGCCAAACAGAGCAAAGATAAGTTTGACAATGTTGGGAAGAGAAAACCAGGGACAATGTACCATATGAAGCTGCAACCTAGTACAACTAAGAAAAATTTCCCTCTTGAGGTTTTGCCTTCCCCTTCTTTATCATGGAGAGCCCTGCCAAATTTATGAAAATTTACATTTATCAAATACAGTAACAATTATGCATCAAGATTCTCAAATTAAGCCAAAAGAAGATGCAAGTATTCTCAGAAAGAATTTGCCAGAAAAAATCAAAAAGCACCCGACCACGAGCAACTCGTGATAATAGGCTATATGCTATTTCAGGGGTTAAGTTTAAATTTTTTTAAGAAATTACCTGAAAAGAGAAACTTGAACTAGACTACTTGGCCACCACATTTCTGCAGGGTCTACCACATACTTCCTCATAATCCCTGCCCAGCCATATCCCAGAACCTGATACACAAACATTATATTAGCATGCCCTCAAACTTGAGTGGGTAAATATTTGGAAGTATACTACCATCTATATGAAAATTTTGAAGTTCTTTCAAATTGTTCACCTGGATGAAAAAAGAGCAAGGGACCAATAACTAAGAATAGGAACGATAGAAAAGTTAAATAGATACTTTCATTGCTTGAAATGAAGAGTTAAAAAGTCTTGACATTGAAGTTCAACTAAGAGGTTTAAGGCTCACAACATCCTCATGTTGTAACTCATTCAGGCTTAGCAAATTAAATTGATACTTCCATCGATACACACACACACACATATATATCAAATTCCTGGTACGAGTGATTTAACTAATGACCACAAAGGTGAATTCATGATTAAAACCTTATGCAATCAACTTTTAAGATTTTAAGCACGGAATCCAAAATTATGGGTTCAGACGTAGTAAAGATTTTAAGCACGGAATCCAAAATTATGGATTCAGACGTAGTATTTGTTGCAATGTTAATGGATTTTTACACATAAACTTATATTTTAACTTGAAGAGGTTCAAACCTGAGTAGCAACCACAAGAATCCAACCAGCCAAAAAGGTGATATTCCTGAAATAAAAAGCTTTGATAATATCAACAATCCCAACAGCATATGCAGGTCCATTCCCAAAAGCAGAGCCAGCATTGGCAAAAATCGAAATCAATACATGCTCTTTCACATTAAACGGCCCTGGATTCAACGAGAACTCCCACGATTTAATCGTAAACTTCCTCTTCGGTAACACCCTAGCCATTATACGACCAATCGGCAACGTCGCCACCTGGACAGTAATCATCGATATCACCAATGGCTCAGCTCTGTAACTGAAAAAAGTGTTGAGAAACGAGAGCAGTGCACAGGACAAGAGCCCTAAGAACCACATTCGGAATGTCCATACTGGAAGAGACGGATCATCGTCGTTCGATACGGTTAAACGAACTTGTTCGATTGGGGATTCGTCGTCTTCTTCTTCTTCAGGAACTACATTCTCTGGATCCTTTATTTGCATGTTTACGGCCATGGAAGATGGCCGAAAACAAAAAGAGGATTAATTTCTAGGGTTTTAAGTTTGAAGCAGCACGTCAATTTGCTGAATTTTTTGCAGGCAGGAGAAGCGGTAGAGCCAGAGGCCGAGTGCGTGTTTTTATAGTGTAACAGTACATGCATGAAGAGTTCTACAATAACTCAAATTTTGACTCATTGAATTATTTCTTTCATTTACTTCTCCATCCCAATATGTCCAAAAATAATTCAAGAGTCAAATTCACAATAAATTTGATTGGAATTTTTTCAAATACTTTAATTTAGAGTAATTTATTTTTACGCCATTTTTAAATATATAAATTTTTGTTTCGAAAGACTCCAATCTTCTATGTTGAAATTTACCGTTAAAAATTAGAAATTTAAATCTCGAATTTCAATTGTATCATAGAAATTAGGACAGAATAAATAGCACTTTTTTGGATGATTGTTATATATTGTTTCATCATATATTATGGATAGATTGTTGTTTTTCCTTATCACATAATGCCAGACATCACCAATTTGAAAGACAACCTTACAAGAAAAATAAAATATGAAATAAAATGATTATAAAATTATAGAAGTAGAGAATGAAAAATAATTATAAGATAATAAGCCAAAATAATAAGAGAGAAAAATAATATAATAATGCGAGCACATCAAATATTATTATACAAAATTAGACATAAATTTACAATATAATAACATTACTTTAGCATCCTATCTCAACCAAAACTTTTCATTATTACATAACAATAAAATTAATAATATA